TTTCGTGCTCCGGCTTCCTCCCCAAAACATAGCCCATACATTCATGCAGCCATTCCAATGCGATCAGCAACCACAGCTTCAGGAAACGCATAGAACTACGCACACAGGAACAACCATTGTTGCAAAACACATAGAAGGAACCAATCGCGTCAGGAACGACCGCAGCCGCAACCGCCGCACAGATGAGGTACCTTTCATCGTCGCCTGCAGCCACTTTACACGGAAAAACACAAGGTTTCGTGCTCCGGCTTCCTCCCCAAAACAGAGCCCTTGCAACATCATGCACCACTCCCCTTCATCATCACTTCCCTTCTTCACCACTTCCCTTCCTCACCACTTCCCTTCGTCACCATGCACTCCCCTCATCATCACTTCCCTTCCTCACCACTTCCCTTCGTCACCACTTCCCCTTCTCACCACTTCCCTTCCTCACCACTTCCCTTCGTCACCACTCCCTTCCCACCACTCCCTTCGTCACCACTTCCCTTCGTCACCACTTCCCTTCCTCACCACTTCCCTTCGTCACCACTTCCCTTCTCACCACTTCCCTTCGTCACCACTTCCCTTCTCACCACTTCCCTTCGTCACCACTTCCCTTCGTCACCACTTCCCTTCGTCACCACTTCCCTTCCTCACCACTTCCCATCGTCACCACTTCCCTTCGTCACCACCCTGTGTCATAGCTTCTTATTCTTTTGTTGTGTATTGTTAGATAATGTATTGTTCTGTGATCTACCACCCTTCATCATAGTCAATTGCATCAAGTAAAAGTCATTCGTAACTCGGAAGTATTGCTTCCCAACTTCCTTTGATTATATACTATTTACTATGAATATGTTCATATATGTTCCATAGAGATAGAGATAGAGCTATACAAAGATATACACAGATAAATCCTCAGCACATGCAGCTATGCCCCACAAATACTCACCTGCACTTTCAGGGGAATAAGGCCCCCACCCGCCCTAAACTTTACAAAAGGGGAGAACTTGGCACTATTTCCTTTCACATAGGTGAACAAAAACACCACCCCTGATAAATGTTGCATTCATTAGAGACTTCAAAGGAGGAAGAAAGAGGCACGGGAATAGCCAGCACATGAACAGCTGACTGCCTTTTTACAGGGAGGATGTCCCCAGGTCACCCAACCTATCGTTGTTTGGTACCAAACTATCAGAAAACTACAGAATACCTGAGGCTTCCTTGAACCGTCCCCAAAAGACGATGGGGCATAGGGTGCGGCCGTATCTAAAGACATGCGTACACAAATACTATAGATATACAGAGACGTGATATGTACATTGTCTACCCTTGCTGTGCCTCCTTCAAAGTCCTTGCCATGGCTGTTCAAATAGATCTGCATTGTCAATCGCGACTGTACCCAACCCTCAGCAGCCTCATCCCACCTTGGCATGACTGGCTCTCGGCCATCAATGTGAGTGGAATGCCGGCCTCCAGTATCATAATGCACGAAGCGAAAATTAGGATTGACCGAAAACAATCTGCCGCCATCCAGTTGCTGTGGCAAAACCTCTCTCAACCTCTCTTGCAGAATCCTAGCAAGCAACTCGTCATTCACGAGACTTCGCGATTTCACCTTTCGATCTCTGTAAAGTTCTGCTACGCGTTGCCCGGGCATAAAGCCCTGACCACCTGAAGGAAAACCAGCAATCAGCTCCTTGCATTCCTGTTCAGACAGTACACCCTGTACAACTGCTGCTGGTACTCCAGGTGTTAATCCCGACACTTCGTTCACCTGAAATTTGGGTTGTGGATCCGGCCTCCAAGCCCCTATCTTCGTGAGTCGTGGTGAGATGGCCTCTCCAACTTCGGAGTTCTTTAGCCGGGACCAGGCAGCCAGGTCCATATCCTGCGCTCCGGCACCGGCTCCGATGTTGTGCACGGAATTCTGATGTTCGCCCGCGCGCTGGACAGCCGTGCCCGCCATACGCAGGGTCTGCCGAATACCGCAGGCAGGTCGAAGAAACCATCGAAGCCGAGCAGCGGGCAGAGCGGACAGCTTCACCATCCGTCGGGACATGCGGAGAACGGACATGCAACGCGTGCGGAACTGGTGCCGTGGAGCAAAAAATGGCTAGTGGAGTAGCGGTTCAGCTGATAAAGTTGGAACATTGGAACATGAATAGTTTCCTTTTGAAAGTCTATCATGGTGGATTGCAACGTTCTGCAGACTTCGCCAGAGAAATGCGCGTTGCTTTCTCCATAGTTTCTCAATCAAACCTTCTTTGGGTTTCATCTTCGTCGTGAGATGGTTGCTGCAGCAAACTGAGCCTATCTACAAGCAGCATCCAACGATTCAAACTTTCAGTAGCCTTCAACTTCAGGAAGTTTCATGGAAAGCCGCAGCCTTCCAAACTTGCGATCGACTCGCAGCAATCGCACTGTCAATTCCTGCCCCATTTCCACCTCATCTTCTGGATGGTTTACAAAACCTTCTTTCATCTCGGAGACGTGCACAAAGCCTTCAGGGGATACCAAAAAATTGCCAGACACACCAAACACATACAAACATTTATAATAATCATTACAATCTATTATATCTTATAAACACCCAATATCTGCACCTCTTTGATCACAAAACCGCGCCCCACCTTGCACCGGGGCTCCACCACTTGGCGGAGAAACCAGCAGAAAAATGCCATAGTCTTCGATGCGTGAAACTTGCGCGGCCAGCAGTGCATCGGAGGGCAAGGCGATGAACTCCGAGACATCGGCTGAGAGCTCCTGGCGATTGCGAGATGATTTTCTGTAAAAAATGATGGGGTTGTTGGTGCTTATTGATGGTTATTGAGTTATTGATGGTTATTGGTGGTTGTGAGTGGCTGGTGGTCGTTCATGATCCGAATCCAACAAATCCAAATAGCTCTGATCTCCTTTGGATCCAGCATCGTCACTTCGAGCTTGGCATCGATTTTCCAGGTACTTCCTTCTGCTGTACCATAACCTGCACAGGGCCATTTCTTTGTGTTTACACAACAGGCTTGAAACTGTTTGATGTTTTTCTATGTTTTTCTCACATGCAAAAATATCTAAAACAATGACTGTAAACCTGCATGTAAAACACGAGAGCGAAATAATCTTTGGCCATTGGGCAGACTTCGAGGTTTCATTCTTTGGATGGTATGTGCTACTTTGTCCTCGGCTCCCCCTGTCAAGAGGCTTTTGAAACTCGATGCCTTCTGATCTCATTCCGCTGACCCACACTCGGATCTCCATTCCTTCAGAAACAACGTCACCGGGGCGTTTGTTGCCCCGTGCCATCTTACTGGCATGCAAGACTGCATCAAACTCTGCTCCCACATCCACCAACGCATGTGAAGCCAACATAGCTTTCACTGTCCCTCGAAGTTCTTGTCCCACTTTCAAATCGCGCAAGCGCTTGCGCCTTCGACGGGGACGAGCCACACTCTCTTGCAAAGATGCATGGCATCTGCCCCGTCTCTTCAACCATTGCCCCACAGTGGCCACAAGCCCAGCAGTCAAGGCTGAGCCGATGTCATTTCTCTTCACCTGGTCATGTCCTCTGCTTCCATTGCTTACAGATCCCATCTTCGTCGGCGCTAAGGCCAATTGAACAGGGAAAGAAGCAAGCGGGAGCATGGCAAGGCCCAAGTTGAGCAAGTGCTTTCTGAAGGTTCAATTATGGGTGATACAAAGCTGCTGCTCAAGCTCATGCTAGAGAGAGATGATCAAGTATTTGTTGACAACAATCAGTTGGGAGTCTTTAAGAGAGCTACGAAGGTGGGACCACAATTTGACAAGCAGGATCGTTGGACCAGTTGACTTTCCTTCTTGATTCCCTGATTCTTTGAGACTTTCAGTCCCACTGTTTGCTGTTCATGCCGAATCAAAATTGAACTGGCGCAGTGCGTAAAACGGCTCCGTCACTCTGTTCATGCTTCCATTGGGTGTGCCAGTCTCTACGCAACCATTATGCCAAAAGGAAATTCATCATACCAAACTACATGTTCAAAGGAATGCATCTATCGCAAAAAAAAGTGCTCGCAATCAAAGCCTCGGCCTCGGCCTGCAAGCTACCCCTCGTAGGTCTGATGCTTTCAACAACTCTAATTAAGTGAAATCTTCAAGGTCCTCCATACACAAATACCATTGGGATTCAAGGAAACAAATGAAACAACCAACGAGAAGAAAAATCATCCTGGAAACTTGCATCGGCAAGTCGGAATGCCGAGAGTTTGGTGGTTTACCTGCAGCCGTATTGCGTACACCCCGATTCAATAAGCACAATCCATTTGGCATTCGGACACCACTGAAACAGAGGGCATCAAAGACGCTTTGATGTGGTGTTTTTCCCGTCGCAGGTTCCAATGCTTCATGACTTGGTCTCAAAAACCAACTAAGAAACGACATCATCCATTTGGGTATGGATCAAAACCCTGGTAAATGGATGTTCATCCCACTAAAAATGTATCTATAGGTATTGACCCATACCCATTTCAATTTGAACCAACAACTGCGGCCGGCTTCACTGCGAGCCAGGCGAGGCTCACTTAGCACCTCAAAGCATCCAGAGCATTCACTGGAGCAGAGAATTTCATGGTGACCTAGTTCAGACATGTTCAGACACTTCCCTCGAAAAAGAGTGTGAAAGTTCTTGGACAGCATCATCATCCCACCTTTTTATACCTTTTTGGGATGTAAATGATTTGAAAGATTTTGAAGCTGAGGCTGGTGCCTTTTGGCTTCTCGTAGGCCTGCGTATGGGAGCAATGGCGTCATTTGCCAGCATGATTAGACCGAAATGGAAACATAAAGGTTGGTAGATAGCATGCTGTATCATGTGAGATGTTTGATTGTCTGAATATCATCATTATCATCATCATCATCATCAACCACCACAATCTATACTTGATACTTTTTTCAGTGTACCAACATGATGATCCGTTCTCCACAAGGCTTTTACGGCAAAGCATTTTGGCTGCTCCGCCTCGTCATAGGTCTCGTCCCAGGTCCACTTCAGCAGCGGCCTTTACCCATCCAGACAAGTTGGAACAAGACCAAAACTACCAGGACCACCCATCTTGCGTTTTTCCTACGATAGCGCAGGACCAGTGTTTGCGGTATATCCCTAGCATGTTGGACACCTGCACGGCAAGTTCATTGGCTCACTGGTCCCATCTCTGCGACCCTCACAATCCTCGTTTTTGTACTAAGACCTCGACTGTTCGGTGAAAATGTGGCATGGACCTGGCCTCAGGAGAGTGTTTCAACTGGTTTCAACATTGACAGATCCCAGGACACTGTTGAGCTTACTACACTTCCTGTAGGACTTCTGCTTCTGATGCTTTTCAAGGTCAGGAAAAGGCAAGCCTCCTGTCTACGGCTGAGTGGAAGTGCAGAAACTTCGTTAAATCTGAGGATCGCGCCGATCGATCATGTCATCAAGGAACAAGGCCGTGTAAGGAATGACTGTACCTGGACATACGCTAATAGGACTTAAGGCATGCAGGTGCTGCTGCCCTTGTCAGTGCATTCGGCCATGACATACTCTGTCTTGTTTCTAAAATACCTGGTGCAGGGTACCATCGCGTAAGCGAGTGTGCTGTTTGTTCAGCTGGCAGTCCATCAAGTGCTTGGTTCGACGCCTTTAGATCAGTGAAGGAGCTGGCAAAGACAACACAAGGTGGAAATTGCACCCATGAGAAGTAGGTCATTGGCAGTAGGTACATAGCCTCCCCTGAGGAGTTTAAGAAAAAGTCAAGGGCCTTCAGGAAAGATCCTGTGTCTACTCTTGGATTTCATAAAGGTAAAAATCCTGTCAAGGACTTTGTGGCCCTGAAGACATGATTTCCTACGATATTTAATACGTTGGGTATCTTGAGCTTTGTTCTTTGTTCTTGAAATCATTGTTAGATATTACTGAGTGTGGCACAAAACCTGAACGTGCTGAAACGCGGGACTGAGAGCGTCCCTTTCTGGAGCATTTTTTGGTGATTTCCCCAGCCATGTTTGATGACACCAAGTGGCGCGAGGTCATCAGTCTCCTTGTAACGAACGAAGCTTGTGCGGCCTCATCTCCGAAATGCGCTGCGAAAATTTGACCTCTACAATCTGATCCTGGGCACGTTTACCTTCAAAGAGACCAGTTTCCATCAAGGTAAGGGACTCCATTGATGGTTGGATAAATCGCTTCTTTTCTTCGATTTCAAAAGTGAACCAGTTCTAATTGATTTAGGTCAAGGTTCAAGACAACAAGACCCACAAATGTCAGACCCACAAGTTTTGAAGTTTGGGTCTTGGTCGTTGATGTCATGGTAGCAACTTACGTAACCACTCCATTCCACGCCCAAGTTTGATCTGTGCCCAGTCATCTTTGAGTGAAGAACCCAGGCAGAAGTTGGTCTCCTCAATCGCCCAGTCATCGCTCCTGTAAACAGCAGCAGCTTGCGCTGACCAAGTCTCTCAAAACACGTCTCCATTCCCAAAATTCCTGGAATTCACAGCTTTGGATAAAGGTCATGACTAGCTGCAACCTTTCCCAAAAATCACTCAGTGATCCATGACAACCAGCCAGGCGCACTTCTTCACCAGCTGGTCATCTGTCACTTCCTGACCCTCATATGCGGAGAAGAACCTGCATGGCTAATGGGCAAAAATCAAGTGAAACGGTGGGAAACTTTCATGCAAGAATTCAGAAAATATGCCAATATGCCGTAATATGCCTCAATGCTTAGCTGATTTACCAGTAAAAACAACAGTGCTTTACCTGTTTGCGGATGATCCAATGTTGCATCTGTTCTACTCCAGGTGCTCAGCTGGCACCTCTGTCCCAAAGGAGCAACCATTGGGGCTTTGCCGATAGGACGAGCCACCAGGGAACCGAAGCGACGGGCCAGCCTGGCCGTAACATGACTGGTGCCGTAACATGACTGGTGCTTCGTAGTACAGGGAATGGGGGAATGGGATGATTGTGAAAATAGTTTTATAATATAATACAATATAATATAATATAATATGATATAATATAATATAATATAATATAATATAATATATATATAATATAATATAATATATATATATATATGGATTGGATCATTTCCCTATTAAGCACCAGCAACATCCAGTAACATGAACATGCTCAAAACTCGTCAGGCAGACATCTCAACAAGTCTGGAAGAGCTGCCACTTGTCGGTCGCTTTGAGAGCTCACAGCTGCGCACTCCAGTTGGTAGCAAGTTGCGAGATCCACTGCGATTACGCTCCTGCTCTGACTTTCAATCATAGCTGCAGTTAAACTGCTGTTAATGTGGCAAGAAGTAACAACGCCGATATGATATGTATGAAATGTTTGACCGAGCATTGAAAAGGCTTCAAACACTTGACGCCAGCACTTTTATCTGCACAGCTACGGCGACTGGCTTCAGCGTCTCATTGGTTGCCAGGTGGACCCTTAGATGTCCAGACGATGATCTCGGTATCGTGCCAACATCTGGCAGGCACGACTTGTCTCTATTGCCCATGTGCACAAATTCAACTCCAAGAAGTGTCCATACATAATTGAAGTATCTTCCTGTCTAGGGAACTTCTTAGTCAAAATTCACAATAGAACCAGTTGAACCAGCTGCTTGACAGCTCTGAAATTCAGAACAACCTGTTCCAATTCAGGATTCGGTGATTTGCTTGCCATTCCATCTCATCCTCTGTAATCATGTTGCGTAAAATCAATAAAGTTCGTGAAAAAAAATAGAAAAGACATGGCAGCAAGACGTCCCAGTAGTGCTCAGCCTGACGATCCTGAAGCAGCTCCACTTCCAGAAGTTACTTCAGGTGGAGCCACACCAGCTGAGTGTGGCTCCAAATTCAGGGGTAAATCATTCCAGGGAAGGAATGGAAGGAATAGAAAATTGCGAAATACTCTTTTTTATCTTTTTTCAACCCTCAGTCAGTGTTCTAAGGCCCTGACGTTCAGAAGCTTTCGGGCCTCTGGCTCGTTCCGGACATGCGTCACCTGCACCGCAAAAGACAACCCACCACTGCTGCTTTTGATATCATGCCAAAGTGGTTGTAAGATGTTGTAAGGTTGTGCTGCATATCCAGCCTTCCAATTCTTGAAGCTTCTCTGCTTCACAACACCTTCCCAAATCAGAACCTTGCACGAAACGGATGCAATCCTCAAAACACTGAGATCAAATCATCCTACGCATTTATTGCGCAGAATCCAGATCCTGGTCCTAGTATGTCCTAGTCGTAGCCATTCAAAAGCCGTGTCATACTACCAGGTCGTACTCAATCCTGATCTTAGGAAGGCACACAGAAGTCCTGAAGCTTTGGTGCGGTGACCTCGTCCTGATCCTCGTCATCATCATCCTTAAAACAGTTCGTCAAGGAAGCCAATCAGTTTGCCCAATCTGCTGGCACCAATAGCTAAAACAAGTTGTCCAACCCTGCCCACCCCACCCAGTTTTAAAAGGGAAAACAACGAGATCCACACGTCGTCAGCTTGCTCTTCGGTCCACTTGATGCGCCTGTCGATGTTTTGTGGCTACACCATGGTCGCAGGACTGGGTTGGAGAAGTCATGGAGAAGCCAAACCGGCGGTCACCTGATCATGAGCTTCTTGTATCGCTTGATGGCCCGCGGGCCGCCCTCGACCACAACCATGTTGGCGACCTCAAGTCTTCAGTACTGTAGAAATGGATAAACTCACTTGACATCAATTGACAAATCTTCACATTCTAGGTTCACCAACACTTGCAGTATGTGTGAACGGTGGTGTTTTTAGCAATTCTGCGCTTTTGGCACCTTTAAGCCCAAACTAGTTCATTTGGCTCCGGAAAAAACTTGTTTAACCTTCATGATGAGGCAATCTCGTAGGCTTCCTCCTTTGTCTATAGATCTGTAAGCTGGAAGGGATGCCAATCCCTGGAGCATGTGATGGTTTCAAATTGAAAACCCGTACCTGCAACATGGAACGACCATACCAACCATACAGTATGAATATGTACGAATGTCACTCAGCTTCAGGCGCCGGGGCACGCTATGCAGCAACCAGTCAGGTGAAATTGCCTGGCCGCAATCACTCCTGTGGCTAGTCACATCTAGCATTCCCCAATCTGGGCAAAAATACCGCTTCTTGTGATCTCTTGCCATGAAACTTGCCGTGGAACTTAGGATCACATGTCTAGAAAACCCCCAGCTATACTGTACTCACATCACACTGCGACCAACAAAGAGACTCCAATGGCTCGTCGCGCACTGAGGTTGCCAATTCAACAAGCCAAGTGCACTGAGCGTTCATGTCAATCTTGAACAAATGCCTCAGAACCCATCTGTCTATATCTGTCTCTTTTCCTTTAGCTGACATTAGGCTGGTATTTGCAACTTGCAAACTTTGCTAAACAATCAGAAACCATCAGAAACCACTTCCCATTGAACTCCAGGCCCTACTTCTCGTCCTAAGCTGGAGACTTCTTGTTTGCCAGGTCCTTGATCTTAAAGACCAGCACCTGTGTGGTTGGCTCCGTCTCCGCCATCCTGAGGGGAAGACAAGAAACCAATTGGTTTTCCTAGGGATTCCCATGGATCATGGATCATGAATGATCATGATAATCAAAACTGACTATAACATACTATAACCACCTGATAAACAATCAACCAACAGATTGTTTTTAAAAAAATGCTCACTTGTGTAAGACGAGGCGCCACTTTTGCTTTTTCTTCTGCTTTCGCTCTTCAGCTGGCAATCTGCGTGCCTCGTGAAATATCGGCATAGCGCGCAGCCATAGTCACAAAGCTTTGCAGTTTGAGGGCAACCCATTCACTTTTCACTTACGGTGATGTCTCAGCTTTTAGCTGGATGTTTCATCATCCTTCAGTTTGACCCAATATATGTTGTTTTTATTTTTGGCATTTCTGTTTGTGCCATGTTGACAACAAAGTGCAAGGTCTCACAAGATCAAACGGGTATACGGGCACGCTGGGGAGGGAGCACAACTGGTCGCCGTCAACGCCTGTCCAAAGAGTCCTCTCAAACAGTTCGGCCTCGTTTCGCTGTTCGTGCTCCTTTCGTCGCTGTTCCACCTGCTGCCTTCACAAGTGGCGTCACTGTGGCTGCCTACGCGCCTATGTCATTCAGCAAAAAACTTGTTGTCACTTGTGTCCTGGCTGTTGCCAAAGAAATCTAGCCACACCTGACTTTCCGCTCCACTGTGGAGGGGTCAGCAATCGCCTCGAGGAGGGTGCAGCATGTGTTCATTGCAGTGTCCAGACCCACAGGCCCAAATGTGCAAATGAAAATGATGTGACAAAAATAGTTGGGATTAATAGTTGGGATTTGGACAAACTTCACCCTTGCTGTCACCGGCCTCGTCACCAAGGACTCTCATCAAGTTGGCCATCTTCACCTGGAAAGTTGAGCCATGTTCAGCCACTCCCCATTCCAAGACAAGGAATATTGACCCCGTCGACCCCCGTGCCTTGGGAGGTGGTGGCTGCAAAATACCCATCTTAATCTTGTCTCTGATCTCCTGAGTTCGCTCTTGACCTCAGGAATTGGGCTGCAGTACTTAGCAACCTGGGTTTTTGTTCTGCTTCAAACGAGATCAACAATTGAATGAACTTGAAAGTGATTGCGCTTTCATAGTGCCCAGCGCTTCAACCGCCTGAGCTTCTTTCTCTCCTTGCACATCAACTTCAGTGAGAAGCCAAAGAAAACACCCCCAACAATTTGTTGCGTCTAGCACAGCTTTGTGCGATCAGTATATAAGCTGGTAGTGCCATCAGTTGGTGCAAGCTGGTTCCGAATCCCTTAGCTTACGTACCTACCATATGTCATCGCAACTATTGCAACCTGCATCGAACCAGCACCATTTTTTGTCCCGTTTGACGCATGGAGTCTTGCAGAAGCAGCGCACATATCTCTACGGCAGCTGCAACATCCACTCCAAGGGTGGCACCTCCCACAGTATCACTGAACCAATGTGCATCAGCGAGCATTCGACAGGATCCCATTATGACCCATGCAGTCACAGCTATCAGGAACCACTGGTCCAGCGTAGCTCTTCTGTCTCGACCAGTGAATCGTGGCAATAAAACAAGTAGAACCAATGAAAGACAAAATGCAAAGCGTGCAGTATGCGCAGATGGATAGGAAAAGTCAGAAACCAGCCCAGAAGGTCGAATGCGGTGAAAGCCTGATTTTAATATCCGTTGAAAAAAACGTACTAGTTGCAGGCCACCAGGAAGAGTAAAAAAAAGAATCACGCCCTCTGGATTGAAGTTCACCAGGTTGAGCAAAGCTGCCAGCCAGCTGGAATATTGCACGAAATCATCAAGTTTGTTGGATACGTCATTGAAGAACTCGTGGTCGCTCCCTGACATCCTATCAAACATGTATGTATGCAAAGACTGGTCGGCAACAATCATCAAATTTCCCGACTCATCCGTTGCTACTAAACCCAGGAGCAAAACCAGTAAAGAAGAAGCGACGACAACAGCGGCGGAGACATTTAGCTGTGCTGCTTCTCCTAGTCCCTTCCTTTCTGTTGCAATCTCTTGATTCAGTTTGTATCCAGTTGGAGTCCGTGAAGACCATGAAGACCATCGGCATCTTGCAAGAAGCCCAAGACACGTTCCACCAATGGTGCCAGGGTGTTCCAGAAAGGACCTCCAGCTCCTTGGACTCCAGGTCCTGTTGCAGCCCTGGAGCAACGATCTCAAGGAACTGCCCTGGACACCGACGTAGGACTGGTGCCATAAACATCCATGGCACCTGAGCACCCTGAGGGGTGTCCTAACCTGGGAAGAGAAGTGGCACTGCATCTGATCCCAAAAACAGCGGGACCATGTACAGGGCACTCTCTCAACTGCGGGTTTGTTCGAAAATAGATGAACATAGGGTACCCAAAATCATCATGTTCCCCCATCAAAATGGCCATAACTGGTGGGTATACCGCATTTTCAGACATACGCATGTTGCTTCGGCAGGCTCTCAGGGTCACAGTCTCCTTTGGAGTCAGGTGCATCATGGCCGCTTCGGGCGCCTCGTGTGGGAAAACGGTGCAAAATTCCAAGTACGGAAGAGGGGGGCCATAGACAGGTAAGTTGGTTTATAATTAGGTGAATGGAGAGAAAATGGGTGTGTGTGTGTGTTTGTGTATACAATATATCATGACATATCTGCAGTTGGATGGAAATATGCTTGGGGGGACCTTCCCGTGGGCTTAAGACTGCTCCAGGCCTCTTTCTCGGTGGTGATCTTGATGGGGATTGGATGCTCCACGTACGGAGTGATCTTCTCGACATTCACCTGGCCAAATGAATCGGTGGTTTCCTGTGGATATTTCCTTTATTGAACCCAGTAACACCTGTGCAATACCCATATATCTTTGGCTGTTGATGTTGTCCACAAGAAACAGTCACATCCTCAAGACCTCGGCATCCATTGATGAAATCAGAACAAAACGCGTACCTCGGTGTATGCCTTCTTCTGTCCGTACTGGTCCTCCTTCAAAAAGGGGATGTCCCACCTAAGTCTCCCAAATTTCTGGATTCCGAAGGACAGTGATTCAGCCGCTCCATTCCTGGATCACCCCATCACTTGCCGCAGCGCTCGACTTGCCCAGGCTGAGGGCTACACCACTCCACCTCTGGGATTGGTTCTTTCCTGGAACCAGCAGGTTGGCAGCAGAGGTGGATGATAAACGGGAGCCAAAGATGAAGCGGGTAGCTGCCCTTGATATTCTTGACGATCATGATGATGATGATGATGATGATGATGATGATGATGGTGATGGTGATGGTGATGATGAAGAAGAAGATGATAATGATGATGATGATGATGATGATGATGACGATGATGATGATTCATGGTGATGCTGATGATGATGACGATGGTGGTTTTGATGATGATGATGATGATGATGATGTTGATGCTGATGATGATGCTGCTGGTGATGGTGATGGTGATGGTGATGGTGATGATGATGATGATGAAGATGATGATGATGATGATGATCTGACAATAATGCTGGTGATGGTGATGATGATGATGATGATGGTGATGGTGATGGTGATGATGATGAAGATGATAATGATGATGATGATGATGACGATGCTGATGCTGATGATGATGGTGATGCTGACGATGATGATGCTGATGATGATGCTGATGATGCTGATGCTGTTGATGATGATGATGATGATGATGATGATGATGACGATGACGATGATGATGATGATGATGATGATGATGGGGTGAGGGATCAAAAAAATATAAGGCATCCAAAAAAAAATCTTCCCGTGGGGATCAAAAAATAAACATTTAAGGCACCAAAAAGAAATATTCCCCTGGAATCCCTTGTTTTCTATGGCCCTTGCAACAGTTTGGGAACAAAACCGAGCATTTCTGTGGTATCTGCATCGTTTTGGAAGTGGAGCCTCTCGCCCGTAAGGTTTTTGCAGGACATTGGACCTAGAAATCGAGCATTCGCAGGGCTCGACGCTGCCGTTTCGACAGCACAGGCAACACTTTGGAGTTCGAATTTTTGATTTTCGATGATTGCTTTGAAACTTACCTTGGTTTAAAGTTTGTTTATGTTTGGTTTAGGGTTGATTTAGGCTTGGTTTGATGCCTATTACGTTGACTTAGGTTGGTTTATGGGTTAGTTTAGGGTTGGCCTATGGTTTACTAGATGTCTATTCAGGGTTGGTAAAAAGTTATTTAAAGTTTTTTGGTGTTTATGTAGGGTTGGTTTAGGGTTTATTTTGATTTCGTTCAAGACTTTGTGGTTTAGGTTTCGTGTGGGATCTATTGAGGGTTGGTTGTTTGTTTATTTAGGGTTGGTTTAGGATTTGTCTAGGGTATATTTAGGGTTGGTTTTAGGGTTTGTTTAGGGTTGGTATTAAGATTTGTGTAGATGCTGCTCAAAGTTTACTTAGGGTTGATTCAGGATGTATTTGGCATTGGTTCGTGCTTGGTTTAGGTGTTATTTAGGGATATTTAGGGTTGGTTCAGGGTTTCTTTAGGGTTGGCTTAGGGGTGATTTTGGGTTGGTTTAAAGTCTATGTAGGTCTTGTTTCCGGTGTCTTTAAGGTTGATGTAGTGACTTATTTCTGGTTGGTTCAGGGTTGGTTTAGGATTTATGTAGGGTTGGTTTGTGGTTTATTTGGGTTTGCTTAGGATTTGTTTAGGGTTTATTTACGGTTGGTTTATGGTTTTTTAGGGGTGGCTTAGGGTTTATTTGGGTTGGTTTGGGGATTATTTGCGATTGGTTCAAAGTTAATTTTGGCTTCGCTTACAACTTATTTAAGGTTCGTTTAGGTTTCGTTTAGGGTTTATGTAAGATTTGTTTAGGGTTTATTTAGGGTTAGTTTAGGGCTGATTGAGGGTTGGTTTAGGATTCGTTTAAGACTTACTTTGGCTTGGGGGGTAGTTTAGGGGTTATTGAGGCTGAGTTTGTTTTTTTTATGTCTGGGTGAATTAAGGGTTATCTTCAAAATGTTTTAAGGCACCAGAGCCACCAAAGGACGGAAGGACCAAGGGACCAGAACACCAGAGGACCAAGGGACCGGAGGACCAAGGGACCAGAGGACCAAGGGACCAGAGGACAAAAGGACCAAGGGACCAGGGGACCAGGGGACCAAGGGAGAGGACTGAAGGACCAGGAGATTCAAAGACCACAAGATTTGAAAATGGCATGCCAAAACACTGCACCAGCGCAGGAAAAATGAATGTGTTTTTTATCCCTTATATAAATAGGTTTATTGATGCCTTATATAAATATTTATTTTTTGATGCCTTAAATATTTTTTTGAACCCCATGCCATGATCATCATGATGATGATGATGATGATGATGCTGATGATGATGATGATGCTGCTGATGATGGTGATGGTGATGGTGATGATCTGACAATAATTATGGTGATGGTGACGGCGATGGAGCTGGGTAGGAAATTAGAAACAGACTCTGATGCTGCATGGTCCTCAAGACCTTGGGCTCAATCTTCTTGACAGGCTGCTCCTTCTCCTGAGTGTGCTTTTAATGTTGGCCCAACACATTCATCTGGGATGAATCAAAGGTAATATCAATCAATTCCGAAATGTCCAGCCTCTTCCTCTTCCTTCTTCTTTTCGTCCTTCTTCTTTTGTTCCTCCTCCTTCTTTTTCTTTTCATCTTTCTTATCAATTCCCAAGGCCTGGCAGCACAAGACTGGGCCAGGCTTCCACAGCCTGACTTTCTGTTGGATTTTCGTTCCAGCACTTGGACGACTTGGACTGTTTGGCTGACATGGAAAGATCTGAATTACTAAGTTTTTTTTCATCTGGATCCCCAGCTCCTTCTCTTGGACTTTCTTGATCATCTTCGCCTCCTTCTTTACCAGTTCGCCTTCCTCGATAAACCTGCACTCCACACTTCTGTTACACGCCAAGGTCTCTTTTCTTGTCACTGAACCGAAAGTAGGATGGGTAAAAATACCAATTCTTCAAGGGCAAAATGCCTGGCCTAAAACTTCGGCGCTTCATTCGCCCAGATTGCTCCTGTGATTTGCAGCAAATTCATGGATATGATCCGAGCAGACTCACGAAAAACTTGCTTTACATGGCTTCTCATGGCTTCTCAACATCTCTGGCTCTTCCTTGACTTTCAAAGTCGGGTCGAAGAAGGAGCTCTCTCCCAGGCCATCCTCGCCAAGATTCTGCGAAGTTTCTCCAGCAGCTCAGCGTGAATCTACTGGTCAACAAAATTTCCAGTTCATGGATTCTGATCATCCCCAGTACATAAAAAGTAGTAGAACCCCCGAACCAATCATCGACCAACAAGGCTTCAGTAGCGTCAGTAGCCAATAGTAGCTGCTACAGTAAGGAGGCAGTCCTTCTTGAGGCCCAGGATCTTCTTTAACCTGGCCTCCTTCTCGCGATTGATGTTGACTTTCAAGGTGCTAACCACCTGGCTGCAAGAGGAGGTACTTTTAGAGGAGCACCAACTGATAAATCCTTGGAGCGAATCATTGAGATATAACTGACGATACTGATATAACGTGTATCTGTTTACAACCAAAACATATCGGACTTAATAATGTTACATAAAACAAACTTCAAATGGGTGCTTTAGCTCCCGTGCTCCCGTGCCTGTGGTTTCATTGGGACGACTTGTCCATCTTCATCCAGCTCACGACCAAACTCATCGAGAATGAGTTTTCGGGCCTCAACCAACTCAGTCGGAAATGGAAGGTCTACCATCTGGTTATTTAACGACATAGCCATGGAAAATCACCATTTTTAATAGGTAAACCTCTATAAATGGGCCATTTCCCATGGCTATGTTAAATAGCCAGAGGGTATCTCTGCAATTTCATTACATCATGTGAAACATTGTGAAACTAGCTGAAAGTAGCATCCCAAGCGTACAACGGGATCAAGGTGAACTGGCAACACATACCCGCAGTGCCTTTGGGGCTTCACCTGCCATGAAGCCTCCTCCAATACCTGCTGTCTCCAGTGGATGCTTGGGCTAAGTTCCAGGAGCACATGTTCAATATCATTGTTGTAGATATATATATATATATATTATTATATATATATAATTATATATATATATGTAGCCAAAAGACAGAAAAGCAGGAAAAACTAAAAAGCGGAGAAGCAGGAATAGCAGAAAAGTATAGAAATGCAGGAATCCAAAAAATCCTAAGCCTTATCCAAAAATAAAAATAAAATGAATAGCCAATAGCCATAATAGCCCTCCCTTATGAAACAAAGCCGTGGCCGCTGGTGCCTTGGCCCTTGATCTTGGCCATTTGCTCCTGAATCTGCCGCTGGAACATTGCAGCTCTTTTGGCCTGGCGATGGCAGAACTGGCACCGTGTTTTTTTTGCCGGAAGGGAGTCCCCGGTCTCAGTTAGTAACGCTTTGTTGAACTTTGTTGGTTCATAGATTTCATCGCTACTTTTTGAACTTTGTCAGTGTCTGGAGGAACCGCTAGTGCATTTCGGTCATGGCACGTCTCAGGCCCATCTAGTGAATCTAGTCGCAAAGCAGCTGACATCAAGTCAAACATGAGCAACTTATATCTTGAACAAAATTGGATGATTTCCGTAGAATATTTGTATTACTGTTCTTACTCCATGTCAAGCCAAAGCGGCCTCCACGCTAAGTGGACCTCACCCCTGACATAATCTCGCACCTTCTCCAGCGCTTCTCTTGCAGCCTGTGCTGCAGCCGAGAGGTCCTCACACAAGGTCAGCATTGTCCAGTCAGCTGGGTCAGGGACCCTGGTGGTAAACAAACCATGGTACTTGTGGATCATAAGTCATAAGTCAAAAATCACCAGGAGAACATGTATACGAGTCATATGAGTATATGATACATGGGTCAGTTGACCCTGGCATCGGGTTTGAAGATGCCCAGTTAGCTGGTAGAAACCGATGCTTGTCCCACAATCGATTGATGGTCCCTAGGTATTGAGGCGTCTCAGTTCTCGCTGCAAAACTGTTTCCCACAGAACTTACAACCGGAGACCCAACACACAGGCTCGGTCCAAAGAGGCTCCGGCGGGGGCTCCCCTGTCACAATCCAAGGATAGCAACGAAGCAAAAGCTTTGTTGCACTTGAAAATCAGCCGGAAGGACAATCCAGGTTGCACAGGCAAGAGACCCAAAGCTGATGCATCAACACCTGGCATCAGAGGTTCGTCAAATGAATGTCTGCGATGATGTGAATAGAAAAATCAAATGATCCAAATGATTCCAATGCCTCCCCATCCATCAAATCACTGCAAGCATGTCATGGATGCAACGAGCAGGAACACGATAACTGTGAGATCGGCACCTACCAATGGCGCAAGCGCGAGGTCATCAGCGCTTGGCACAGGCATTGCTTCAGGTTCCTTCAAAACACGCCAAGAAGAGGGTATTTCTAGCTGCTCCAACCATGCTCCAACCATGTCGAACACAGTTTCTTGTACTACACTTTGCTGCGGCTCTGTCCTGACCCCATCGATTCCGTCGCTGACGTTTTGGCTTTGGCTCCTCTTTCGGGGCATCCACATCCTGTGGCGGTCGCTTGATCAGCTTAAGTTGATGGGAAGTAGCCCACTTGCTGAACCCTGCAGTGTACCAATTCACAAAGAGGCCATACCCAAAACATCTGTCGCACCAAGATTCGCACTCTGGCTCTAAGCCAGAATATGAGTATAATTGTAGACTCACCCAAAAAAAAAGGTAAATCCCTACTAATTTGGTGATGACTTACTTTCCTATCTTTTTGGGGGGTGCAATATTATGTGTGTACTGTATATATATATATATATTTATATAATTTATACATACATATTCACATGTCCAACGTAGGCTTAGAGTAGTGCTCGCCCTGCCTCGACAACTTCTGTCACCTCAGGCTTCTCCTCAACCTCTGCCTCTTCCTGGTCTTTGCATCGCATGTTGGGGTTGTTGCCCATAGGGGTCCCCACATGTCCCCACAAATAGAAAAGTATATCACCACAAAACAAACAACAATTGCCAAAACCTGTGAAAACCTGTTCCATCTTTTCGGCTTTTGTCGCGTCAGCCAGGCTCCTCCGCCATGTTGCCAGGACGGGCACAAGCTTTGCCTGGCCTCACCTCAGGGGTTCATGAAGCCAGGAGAACCCCCAGCAAGTGCATCTTCCAATTCGCAGCACGACTGCATTGCAAAGCAGTTGGACAAAAACATGGAGCCAAACGAGTAAGTTCAATACCAAATATGCTCAACAATGTGTGAAGAAATGATTAATCAAACCGAATGCGTACCCAATCTCGAATCATTAGTTGTTCTTGAATCCGCCTGTGCCAATTGCTTGATTGGCCTGCTGTTTATCTTCCGAAGACGTAGAAATCTCATACATTGAGGGCAAGAGTTCGTGGCCAAAGGTTCTGCGAATCCATTTGCTGCAGACTCTGCAAACTGGTTGCTAGGTCTCGAGCGGTTTCTCCAAACCGCGAATCGTAGGACTGAAAATCATTGAGCCAAACATAGGTACGGCACACAAATACGAAGTGTGGACGGATCTCCACTCGCCAAATAGCAATTTATTTCGATACCACCAGTATAGGATAGCCCTCTTCATGCAAAACATGGCTGTAAATTTCAGAGCGGTCAGAAAAACGATCCTCATCAATTTTCACCTCTATGTGTTGATTCCAACATTTCATCACACCTTTTTTGAACCCTGCGTCACACCGATCTGACCTCTATCACAGATCCTGTGGCGGCCATGTGGCGATACAAATGGCACCATGTGTTCACTGGTCACTGAGCTTTAGATTTTAGATGGAGTTGTTGGAATCAGTTTAGAGACCTGAAAACGATTTTTTTAGTCATGAAGAAAAACGAAAAGGATCCTTTTGAGAAGTTGTCATGCTTACATTTGAGAGTGCTGGCCACACAAACCCTTTGAACTTGTTTCATGATTTCAAAAGAACACGGGAACCAAAGATTCTCTGGGTGAAACGTTCTCTTCTGCGTCATCAGCGAGTCACCCGAGGGTGCGCCTGGGTCAACCAGATCAACCAATCCGATGCAGCAATGCCACGTGGCAATCCTGGGTATTCCGATGCCACTCCCAGGCCTCGCTACGTGTTTCTTTGAGCGGCGAAGCCGCTGGACCTGGTTCGGATCAGAGATCCATCACTGGCAGGAACAATAGAAAAAACGATCCGTCGTCCACCATCATCCACCATGATCTACTCGCACGTGGTCAGGTTTAGGTCAGGTTTATGTCCATCCACAAAGGTCCTTCCCAGACTAAGCCACATACGTTTAACCACCTTCGGCAGACTTCACAGCCTTTGGCAAACATTCAGTAGAAGAAAATGATGCCAAAATTTGAGAGCGAATCAATGGTTGATTCTTAACAATCACAATTTATCAGTATTTATCATGATCATCATCATCACCACCATCATCACCATGACTCTCCGAGGCAGCTGCCCATTTCATCTTTGGGGCCTTGTTCTCAGAAACCTTCCTGAACAGCACACGAAACGCAAGTTGCTGTGACACTTGGTTTGTGATACAACTTTCGATCCGGTTGCGTTCAAAAAAAAAGAGAAACTCCCTTACATGAAATCACAGCCAGAGCACACAAAACTGAATGTCACAATCAAAACTGTCTCCGAAGTCTGCTACTTTTGCACGAGGCCTTGCTCCATCTTCAAAATCAGGAACAAAGGTCACATCCTGATCAGGAGGCCCTTGGCTCAGCCCAAACTTCCACCTAGAAATAGAAGGCATGCAACAATCTGTGTGCCGCTTGCCTCTGACTCCTCATACCAGCTGGGCTTCCCCTGTCGTTGGCATAACATCAACGCCATGACACCTTTGCCAGACCATGCTGCAGATACTGAGCCCTGAAATTCTTGTCCCACCAACCACATTTATCCAATCCTTGACGCCCGTGTAGCCGGGTGGGGCCATCTCCTTCAACCCAAAATGGAAAGATGTCATCTGCTGAGCCTTTTTCTGCTGCTGTCTGAGGATGAGTAAAAGATGGAAACGAAGCACTGTGATGTGGTAAACCCAATGACAGACTCCAGTTTTTGGGGTTGTAAATCCCTCAGATGGTAAATCTGATGCGCTTGACTACTGGGTTTGCCACAGTGCCAAAGTAACAGGAGAATCAGGCAGTGACAAGAGCTCCTCGCACTGGTCTCCGCCCCACTTGCCAGTGGACCTCAGTGGCATCCCGTGTCGCTACTCAAATGAGTCATCTGGGAACAACACTCCATCAACAATCCAGGATGAGCACCCCCCCTGGCATGCTGTTGGAAGCTGTTGTCTGTGTGTAGTCACTAACTTGTCTATTCCAGCAATTCCTCAAAATAGAAAAGGCTTGAGCAAAAAAACTGAAAACTGGGCCTCTCGCTTTGCCCCTTTGCCTTTCTTGGACTTCCCCTTCCCTGGACGCCATTTTCAAGATGCAAAACCCATGGAGCAGGTCGCGAGTGGGACTGAGGGAGGCACCAGAGTCATCCTTGCTTTTGCCGCCTTTGCCTTTTCCCCTTAGTTTTACATTTATGTGAACCGTTGATGACCAGTGCACCACCTGTAGCATGGTCCGGACATCTCCTGAGATAAGTACTTGCTTGGAGCTTCCCAAGGCGCCGCTGCCTGAGATCAGGAAGTCCGACTCAATATCGGGCTGGAGCCAAGTAAATGTGAAGCCTGTACACTGGCAAACCTGGGTGAGTTTCAAAACTGAAAGCGGTTCCAGAAAGAAGAGCATAGCCGCTTGTGAGGAGTATGTTGGTTTATTTTTTTCGTTCCTTATAACGCGATTTTAGCTTATGGACTGCGTCACGAATAAGGCCAATGAAGTCACAAATGAATCAGCTAAAAGGCATAAACCAGCAACAAAGGACCAAACAAGGAGTATGTCGGTTGAACTCGCAGCTTGCTTGCAAGCGAAAAAACATTGTTTGAGACTAGCAGAAATTGCAATTCCAGACGGCCACAATGAGAATGGTGAAGGCTGCATGTGTACCCGTCTTTGGGATGCACTGCGTCTACATGTTCCTTCTAGGCGTTTAAATATTTCGAGAAGAAGCGGCCTTGTCGTATGGATTATTAATAATTATTATGTATTTAAAAGAGCCTCAGAACTTTGAGAAGAAACCTCAAGCAGGAATGACCTCGAACAAAGTAGCGAAGACAAGAAGAACTGTATACAGTGTACAGCGAGACTCGGACAACTGGGAAGTGTCGCGGCCATCAAGTGCAGAAACATCCAGCGAAACATGTTACTTTCAAAGGCCTGAACATCGGCAAGGCTTGGGCAGTCAGCTGAAAAGGTCAAGGGTGGCTGTCTGTGGCGACTGCCCCACGACTTCCAAAAGCCTCGACACAGTCCAAGTCCAACTGCGACCAATGGATCTGGACTGGATCTCCATTGAACAAACTCTTCAAGCGCAACTAGGGGTTTGTCTGAAATGAAGATACCCCCTTGATAAGCATTTTAATGCGAAACTGCTGAAAAGCAATGGCATTTGAAGGTTGTCCAATATTTTCAGACAACCCCATATTTTTTCAAGACAAATCACACAATAGTCAGCAACAACCGCCTGGGGACTGCAAACCAAACTGCGTCGGAGGCTCCATCATGGGCATCTGCATACAGATGCAAATTCCAAATACACCAATCTGTATAATCTGTGGAGACTGCAATCTAATGCCCCACACTCCAAACTCCGAACTCATCTCTTCCCATTGCAACAGAGCCAGAGTTCGTGCAGCGCAGCCTCCTGCTGCATCCCCATCTGCATTGGGTGCATCCTTGGCAGATGTAGCTAGCAGCGTAGGAATGGCTTGGTGTATGTACATGTTACATGTATATTCTGTATATTATGTGTATATATATATTATATCGGATGAATCAGTCGTGCTGTTGCAGTTGAAAAGGCTGCGCAGCAATGGACGCAATGCGATTATTTCCACGTGAGTTATGACTGCGGAATGAAAAGCAAGGCAAGAGCAGAGAAGCTAGAGGATGCCTGTATACATAGATCACTATTGCTGGCTTAGTCTATATCCATTTCTTTAGCATCGCACATTCTGGCAGCGGAATTTAAGGACGTGAATTCCCAATGCGTGTTTGCTGTTGCATGGGAACTGCAAAAACAAACAGAGACAAAGATACCCACTTCAAAAATTCAAAGGTGTTCTGGCCAGAAAATAAGATCCAGGCATGCCAGGAGGTGGCATGAAATCGGAAAAGTTTGCCCCTTTGCCTCCAGCTGGAAATCCGGCCTGATCTCATCATTTCCAAAATTGCACTTTGGTCCGCTCATACGACTCATATCGCATAAGAGAACACTTTGATGTTGCACTCCACTCTCAGTTTTCAAGTTCCAACCAAAGCTGTCCTGTTTCACAAAGGTGTTTTCCTTCTCGGAACATTCCAAACATAATTTTCTGTCAAATGGCTGGAGCAAAGCCATGTGGAGGTATATCTCCCTCAATTGGGGGTAGCCTGGCTGACTCATCGGGGTGAAGCACGGCATTGCAATCTTTCACCCAGGACCCACAATCAAAACTGGCAAAAAAAACTTGCAAAAACACCTTTTGGTTTCACCTTTTGGTTTCACCTTTTGGTTTCACCTTTGGTTTCACCTTTGGTTTCACAATGCCAGCGTGACCCAGGCGGTACAAAGCCCATACTCTGGTTGACTGGAAAGAAGCTCCGCAGGAAGTGCTCGGACTTGATCGCTGCATTCACAGGTTTCCCCTGACATCATCAAAACGCGCAGACGTTTCGCAATTTCTCAATTTCCAAAACATCGGTTTCTGAAAGTTACACAACAAACAGTCAGACTCTCAGCACCCATCTCAGCAAGAGACTTTGAAAGTTTGCGATCTCAGCCACAAGACCACATCTTGGGCGCCATCGTCCACGTTGAATTTCACAAACCAGGTGTTGTTCACTTGAGCCAAGTCGCCAGTCCCCACTGCATCCCTCTGCTTCAGCAATGCATCACAGTCGCCAACCTCCGGCTTGACACTCACCACATTGTCCGCAAAAGGCCCAGCTGACAATAGTTGCACAATCTCTTCCTGCAGACTCCGCATCATGTATTAGTGATTGCTGTGATATGAGAAAACCTGTGGGTAACAGGTACCAGTCCTCGGTAGTGCCATCTGGCAAATCTCGAAGGATGACAACATTCCTTTTGGATTTGAGCACTGGCCGAACCTTCGGCAGCTCAAGAAAAACAGGAATCAAAATTTCCAAGTTTTGCAGTTTGACCTCCAACTAAATCCCGCAAAGTAGGGTGTTTGATCGATATCACCGCCGAATGCAGCTGGGCCCCACACCATCGTTTTTTGTTCATCTACCCCCAGACGTTTGGATTTTGCAGCTGCAGCTGCTACCTTGCAAAGTTGCTATTGGGGATCAAACCCGCGGGCGCAAATGATTTTGAATGAAACATTGCATTTTCGGAATAATTAAAGGCATCTCATACATCTGACAACACAAAGAACCTGAATGGCCGACATGAAATGAAATCCGTTCAAAATTCACACCTGTTCTTTCGTTGCCCCCAAGATTTGCAATCGGTCGTGCAAAAGCAAAACCGAGATGGGGATGTACCTTCGCAAGTCTGGAAGCAAATCCATTTTTGACACCTAAAAAATATGAATCAATGCATGAACAAACATATTTTTTAAAACGGCGCACATCTGTGGATTCATTTTGCTGGCCAAGAACTGGTCTTTGACCAAACCCTTTTTGGACAGCATCGACTCCAAAGTTTCCTGGCTCACAGTGCTGCATGAAAATGGTCATACATAATTCCGCCTCCAAAAGCAACAAAGTGGTTTATCGGTTTATCCAATTGGGTTATCTGTGTACCCATGCTGCAAAAACATCTGTCTATGTTTGATCTGTTCAAGCAAATGCAAAACGGCCTGGATCTGTTCTTCCGGAGATTTTTCCTTGGTTTTGGGAGCATCAGCTCCACCCGGCGTCTCCGCCTCCATCTGCCTGCGGATATCTCCAGGTGTGACGGCTACACATTGCATGGTATGGTTGTGCCAAAGCCTTTTTGGTTCAAAGCGGGCAGCACATTAACGATGGAACAAAGTTCCAGACGATTCTGCAATGGCTACGGTTCATTGACTCATATGCACACCTCAATATACACAATTTGCACGTTGATCCAATAATTCAATATGTGACACTTCGCAGTCAAAACATTAAAACAACGTTTAAAAAAATCCCACCGCCTAAAAACGAAGAACATGTTTGGAAGGGCAAAATGGATTAGATGACTAATCGCCCTCAAAAATCATGAGCAACAATCTGCATTTGCACCAAACAAATATACATACATACATTACATTACATTACATTACAGTCTGACGTGTCAAGTTGGCCACAAAGCATGCCAGATACACAACTGCATGCATCACACTCTGTTTTCTCGGGGGACGTGCAGCTGGCTAGGCCTTGGGTCTGGCCCAGGAAGTTGAAAAAGGGTTGGGTGAAGAGTAAGCCTTTGCTTGGGTGGGCGCTTTTCAACTTCTACAAAGAAAAACGGCGGACCCACCGCACCCTCCCTTGAAAAGAAATGTCTCAGGAACAACAGGATTCATTGTGTCCCGAAATCTAAGATTTCTAAACTTGTCACTTAAGACAATTCGATGATTAAAATCAGCTTCATCGTCTGACGTGTCAAGTTGGCCACAAAGCATGCCAGATACACAACTGCATGCATCACACTCTGTTTTCTCGGGGGACGTGCAGCTGGCTTCCCCCATTGAATTCTGCTCGGCCACCGTCCAGGAAATTCACCAACTTTCCAAACCACTCAACTGCAGAAAATGATTGATCCTTGTGCTCAGGTAATAAAGGATGAGGAACAGCACGAGAAGGATAATCACTCACGTTTGCTTCAGTCGGTACTCTGGCGTACCATGTATTGAGATTGTTAAACGCTTCACGCTCCAAGTGGTATCTCATCAAAATCTCTAAACTTTTCCTCGCAAACCAAAAGCCTCGGAAATCCATGTCTTCACCATGCCTATTGCATGCTGAACTGTTGAAACGTTTGGAGTAGTTTTCAACTAGCAAACAAACTGTTCTCGGCAAAACGCAAAGATCCAAATTGGATCAGTTGACCTACAAAACTACTAAATCACTACGTGAGTTGTAGTAGGTTCCAAAAGGGTGAAGTTGTGGTAAAACATCTACACACCCCGCCCGTGAATTGCACGCTCTTCGTACAAATCACGCTGTAGTTGTTTTGAAGCAACAGCTTGAAAGCAAAAGAATTGTATCCTATGCCACGCTCATTGCCTCTCACTGCAAAAGGTACCGGTGAGATCGTGTTAGCTCACCGCGCACCAACTGAAAAAGGTACCGGTGAGATCGTGTTAGCTCACCGCGCACCAAATGTTGCAGCCTCCGACATGCACTCCTTTTTCATGTGCCATAAGGGAGAAAAGGAGTGCACTCAAATCCAAGGCAACGAACATTGCAGCTTTGGAGTTGTGTTCCTTTTGGAAATTCTTTTCACAAAGCTAGCTATTTGTGCTCTCTGTGTTTTCACCTTCTGATTCGCTTTGTCCAGGCGATATGTCGTCCATGGTTTGCATCATGAACATTGCTCTGTGACGCTGACTCGGATCGCGTCTGCAGACTTTCAAGACGCCCACCATGATCGCCCGTCTTTCTGCATTGCGACGACAACGTTCGGTGTCACCTGCTCCAATGCATTGCTTGATGCGCTTGCTCAAGCGACTGATCATCCAAACACCCATATCCTCTGGACTGTATTGCTCATATGGGTTTGGCAACTCAATCCTCATATATTCATCATCCATGTCAGGTGGAAGCATGTCTTCCACATCAGGTTCTGCAAGGATTCCAGTGTTGAAGTTTTCAATCTCCAACGCACTGAAGTCCACCGCAAACGCTGGGTTCAAGTTTTGCAAACGCTCGTATGCAAACATTGCACTGTCGATGGTGGATTGTTTCACTCCATCATCTTCACTGCTGTAAAAGCAATCCATGATCACTTCATAGATTGTTTCTGCTTGCTCTGCAATCTCATCGTTCTCACTGGACTGCAATTGTAAAGAACGCTCATTGCAAGCAGCAAGGAAAACATGGAATTTCACACCATTGAAAGTTTGCTCCTCATTTGGTTCTGTTTCAGCGTCTGGCTCTTGCAAAAATGTTTCACTTTCATCGCTATCTGATCTGCCTTCAAAATGCCTTGCAACTCTGGAAACTGCAAAGCAAATCACTCCGATGAAAACGCACATGTAAACCATTGGGCTCAAACCTAGGCTCAAGGCTTGGCTGCTGGTTCCTTCTTCACTCCCAGCTGCGACGTTGATGCAGCTGAAAAGTAGCATCACTGCAAGTGCAAATTTCATCTGGCACATCCATGAAATCATCCACGCAAATGACATGGCAACTGAAATTGGAGACATGTAGACATCACCGCAAAACTCAAAGGAAAACGCTGAGCTCGAAACTTGAAGTCCTTCTGTCATGTTGACCAAGCTGAACACTGAAAGAGCTCTCAGGACTTGCTTGGCCAAAGCATTCACACCAGCTTGTTTCCTTTGGTATGTTTCATCCATTCCAGTTTCATCTGTCAACGCACGAGAGACAACCTTGATTTGGTTTTTCATCAGCTCCTTTGACTGCAAACGCGCAAACTCATCTGCACCAACTTCATTGCCATCTGAGGTGAATCCAAGCAAAAACAAAAGACCTAGAAACCTGTCTTTCTGCAACGGTTTTGTGTTCACATCTGAAACGTTGAAAATTGTTTTCACCTGTTTGATTCTGAGTTCATGACTGGCAACCTTGCTTTGAAGCCAAAGAAGTCGGCCCTTGATGTGACGCAATCTGCCAGCCCCTTGTTTCAAAGACAGCATCTTCACAGCTGAATTGTCAACATGAAGTGTCAGTGGGTCCACATCGTCATCAGTGATGAATGACACGATGTGGTGCAAGTACAAAGCATCACAAACACCTGAGCTTGCTGAGTACCATTCAGCTTCTGTTGAAGACAAGCTGATGCATTTCTGTGAACGTGATGTACTGAAAATCACAAGCCCATTCAGTGTGTGAATTGCAGCTGAAGTCGATTTCATGTCACCTGCACCTGCCCAGTCACTGTCGGTGTACACTTCCAAATTGTTTCTGCTACGCTGGGTATCCACTCCAAGCACTGTTTCCATGAAACTCTGCCCTTTCTCACATTTTTCCATTCTCAAAGCAAAGCTTTCACTGTAACGCAGGTATCCTATCAGTCTTCCCAAACTCAACCATGCTTTCCAAGTTGGGTCCTTGAGGCCTGAAGCCAGCGTCTTTGTTGCATACTGTATATCAAAACGCTCTTGTGCCATGTACATTGCTATCCCAACCAAGGAGCGGTATTCTGCAGAGAGGGAATCTGACAAAGGTTGTATTTCATCTGGGGCATAGCTTGGAGAGGACACGCAAGGAGTCTTGAACAGCTTTGGTGGTTTTCCATTTGCTGCAGTAAAACGGTCAAACAAAGTGCAAACATGCTTGGCCTCTGGGTGAACGGTGAGTGATGTGTACTCAGGCGCAATCTCATGGTAACGTTTCAGAAACTCAAAGCCACCACCAGTCTCTCTTGAAATGATGGTGTATGTCATCTTGAACTCACTTTCCAGTTTGGGAATGAGAGTATCCCTGAGCCACCTTTCATCACCCATGAAAAGCACATCATCCACATGCAGTAGAAGCACTCCAAAGTTCTTGACACGCAAAATGCAAGGCTGTTCTTTGCAAGACACAGCATCCACATGGTGTTGAACACGTCCAACAAAGTAGTTGAACCACAACCGAGATGCATCACGCTGTCCAGGCAAACATCGCAAAATGATGTGTGAGCAACCATTGATTGTAACAGCTCTTGGCAAACTCTGAGGCACCTGCAAAAAGGCATCGCTGATGTCCAACGTTCCAAGCACTGCATTGGGTATGAAGCCATCAGACATGGCTAAGGCTGGCAACAGCTTGACCACTGCTGAGCTTGTTGCAGGACTGAATGTGTCCTCCCTTGATTCCAGCCAATTGAACTCTCTTGCAACTAACCTGGAACGTCTCATCCAAGCAGGTCCTTCACTCACCAAGTTTCCAGCTGAGTCATATTCTTTGCGCGTTTTCTTTCTCCACGTACGCACAAACTTTGCTGAAAGAGGTTTGCCACACTCACCTTTGTATTGCTCTGGAGTTGTGAGCACCTGCATTGAAGTCAACCTCATGATTTCAACTTTGTCACCATATTCATCGATCTTTGCAAGAAGCTCTGGGTCCAAGCATGGCTCCAATTCAGAAAACGGCTGCCACAAACAATCATCGTCCATGAAAGGAGCATCATCTGCTGTATCCTCATTGCAAAAGTACTCAGTGAAAAATGCCTCCTGAGAAACACTTTCAAAGAGTTCATCAACGTCCATGTCAACATGTTGCAGTTCTTCATCTCCAATGCGTCGCACTGTTGTTCTTTGTCTTTTTGCTTCTGGTTCTCCCTCAACAGCTGTATCTGCAACACGTCTGGCAACTGTGGAGTCCATCTGCATTGGCCCCGCCTGCTCAGCACCCTCAACTGGCGCTGAAACCACTGCTGTAGGTGGAGGTGGTGTCCTCCTTGGTGCCTGAACCTCTTGTGTTGGTTCTGGCATGGGTGTGCGTGGAGCCAAAGGAATCAAAGGTGTAACTGGAAAAGTTTGCAGCTCTGTTCCATCACCATCTTGCAAGACTGCTGAACCAGTGCCTGCTGTAGCATCAACCTCATCAGGTTCATCAGGATCTGGGGCTGCCTCATCGTCAATTCCAGGTATGATGCCTGGAACACCAAGATAAGACTTGGAGACAGGCTTCACTCGATTACCAAGCACACCCTCAATTTGCCAAGGAAACGTAAGCAAACTGCGATAGAGCTCCATGTGCTCAGGCCAATCTTTGAAAATTGCTTTCGCTGACCTTGTCAACCTCAAGTTGCCTTCACATTGAACCAGAAACATGTCATTGGTAACGCTCTTTGTCAAGAAAATGCCAGGTCTCCATTTTGGGTCACCCTTGTGTTGATTGGTGCCCCCAACAAAGCACATGACTGGCTCTGCAAACTGGCACAAACGTCCTCGATAGGCATGCCCTCGTATGAGCTCATAGGATGTCACCCCTGCTCGAACTCCATATCTGTTTCTGATCCAACACGCATGTATGAAGGCCCATGAAAACAATGGATGTCCAACTGGAATCTCATAGTTCAGACGCTTGGAAAGTTCATGCAACAACACTGAACTCATGTTTCTGACATTGTCCACTGCTTTCTCAACCCAAGAGTTGCTTGCATGATCCAAGAGTTTGGAATTCTCAATCACTGCACGATGTCCCATTCTTTGCCATGTACGTTGAAGTAAGTTCTGCACTGCCAGGATTGCAGGCTCTTGGTCACATCTCAAGCAAATGTCTGAGTGACCCAAGAACTGCAAGAATCTCACAGCTTCCATCACCATGTATTTCCTCTGACTCTTTGCAAAAACCGGGACACAATGCACAGCGCCTGAATGTGAATCATGAAAAACCAATGTTGTCAGTTTTGAAGTTGTTGTATCAACATCCACTGATTCACAAGACTTGCCAGTGTGTGCAAAATCAAATGACAAACTTGGAAGCTCTCGATCTTGAAGTCGACTTGAATCTGTCTCATGTCTTTCAGCACGTCCTTTCCCTTGCACGCAAGATTCACACCAAGCTGCATAAGGTGTGTGGGTAAGTTGATGTCGTTTGATTTCATCCTCATCATCTGGCTTCTCTGCTGTCTGAACTGGAACAGGGTTTCTTGCAGACTCTTGCAAACTGCTCTGCATGATCTCAACTTCTTCAAGAATCTTCAGTTTGTCAAGGTGTCCAATGATTCTGTTCCACAGTTTACTCTTGGAGCCTGACTGAGAAATCTCCAGATACTTGCAAGAAGCCCTCAAAAGCGCAATGGACGACGATGGAGTCACTGTGATCCCTGCAATTGTAACACCTGCAGACTGAACACCTCCAGTTGCATCGATTGTCACTGGAATTTCACTTGAACGCTGAGCATCTGCTGTATGTGGTTGCAATGCATCTGACATCTGAATATCTTGGGGAGCCTGTGCAACTGTTGAAGATGAACTTGATTGCGCACCTCCTTGAACTTGTTGTCCAGGTTGTTCATTCAAAACCATTCCAAGTTGATCGATTGTACAAGCATTCTTGGTAACAATGGTCAACAAATTCTTGTATGGTTGTCCAATGGGTTTGCAACGTTCTTCAATATCAAAAATCTTCTCACAAAGTTCCAAAACGCACCAACCATCATGCTCACTCCATGCAACTGTTGTACGGTATGGCCATTCATTGACCAAAACATCACTGGTCACGTCCACATGCTTTTGGGCTCCAGACACATAGATCATCATGCTGTCACCAAACTCCCACCAGCCAGATTGCAGCTTCTGCCAACTGCGTGGCACATCAACATGAATCACTCTGACAGTCTGTTTGTTTTCAATAACACGCACATGACCATGAATCACCAGTGAATTGTTTCTGAAGTTCATTGGAATCTTGAAGCCACGTGCATGAGTGAGGAAACTGCCTGTGTCGTCTGGGACAATGCCCCAGCCATTTCGAAGGAGCTTTCCATATGAAATGATGGGTGAATCAACTGCATTGCTGAAATGAGCAGTGTCTCTGATTGTCACTGTCCTACCATCATCTGTTTGCAAATCAAAACAAATGTCCTTGACGCTGTCCACCTGAATGGCATTACCTTGAGCATCACGCAGTCGACTGTCCTGGTCTGCACATGGTGTTCCTGCATGGTTCAAATGAACTGGAAGTACTGTTGCATCAGATCCAGAGTCCACTACAATGTCATGACCTGTTGAAATTGCACGCACTGAAAAACTTCTGTCATCACTCCAGGGCTGCTGCAAATCAAACTGAAAACAAGGTTGTTCTGGTTGTTGAAATAAGGGTTGAGGTTGAGATTGAAATAAACGTTGTTGACATGATGGTCGAAAACACTGAGAGTCACAAAAACGTCGTTTGAAATTGGATTTGTTTGTCAAATCAGCATCATACAAATCAAACTTGTAGTCCATGGCAACGTTCTCTGTGAAATGCTCGAAATCGTCCACCTGTGGCAGTGACTGCATTCGAAACCTGTCAATTCCATCACCTGCAGGTTCGAAGGCATACTCATGAAACATTCCCTGCAATGACAAACCACGTTGAAAATCTTTGCAAGTTCCTGCATCTGAGCATGAAATCATTCTGACACTTGAACTGAAAACATCACTGCCATCTGAAATGTCGAAATAAGCACTGTCACCAACGTTGCAAGGCAAAGAAGAACATGGAGAAAATGTAACACGCTTCACATACTGTGTGGAAGAACCATGTGTTGTCGATGTCTCTGCATTGGACTGCACTGAAGTTCCAGCTGCATCTCCAGAACCTTCTCCAACCAAACGCACTCGACAATCTCTGGCCTTGTGGCCAGCCTTTCCACACCGATAGCACTCCATCTGATCTGACTTCTGCTTTCCCTTGTCCTTGCTTTTGCCTTTTCCCTTGTTGTGCTGATCATTCGAATTCGAAGACCATCCATGGCCTTTTCCACTGTTCCACCGGTTCTGACCCTTTCCATTGCTATTCCAGCTAGTCTTCCCTTTGTCACCTTTTCCTTTTCCTTTTTCATCACTTTTGCCCTTTGCTTTGCCCTTCTGATCGGGCTTGCCTTTGCCCTTACTTTTGCCTTTGATTCGATCAACCTCCATTGGCGCACTTGTATCTGCAGAGTTGGTTGCATTGTTGAATCCAAGTACCATCGTCTCAGACCACTTTGTAGTGCTGCGCTCATAGCTCAGCACCTTCTCCCTGATCTGCAAATATGTTGTACTGTCAGTGAGTTGCAGTTGAATCCAAGTCTTAATCTGCTCAACCAAGCATCGAAGTAAAACAGCTGATCTGAGCTCCTCTGAAAGAGCACTTCCAAGCTTCTCGTATTCAGAAAACGCTGATTCAAGTTTCATCACCTGTGACATCAATGAAACCTTGTTGGAAAAACTTGGCCAGTTCATGATTGCATTCAACAGACTCATAGACCGGTTCTTGTTCTGGGGCTCATTGCTAACAATAAGCTCTCTGTAGCACTCATAGCCGTTGAAATCCTTCACAGACTTCAAAAGCATCAGTGGTCGATTCTTGAGAACAGACGCAAGCAAACTGTATAAAAAGATGCAGCGCTTCTGCTCATCGCTCGCCATGATGCTCATGTCCACTTCAACGTCAGGTGTTTTTCTGATCCTGTCAATCTCTGTCACAAAGCTGGGATCCAAAGTCCCAACATATTGCTCAAACGACCAACTCCAGTCGCGCCACTTTGCAATCTCATCCTCTCTCGATCCAGGGTCAAAGCTTGTAGGCTTTGGCAACAAACGATACCAAGCTTTCTCGTCTGTGCTTGAACTCCCAAGTGAGCTCTTCAAACTCTCAACAGCTGAAACTGCAGCTGCTGCGGCTTCTGCTGCAGCTGTTGTAGCCTGCACCATCTGCATAGCGACTGCAGCTCCATCCAACGCTTGTCCTGCTGTCGGCGAAGCACTTGGAGAACCACCTGGTGATCCATCGGGCGCACCACTAATGAGACCAAATCAGATACAAGGCTCTGATGCCCTAAGCAGTGAAGTCCTATGGCACAGCAACGGTCGCACCGGGGCTACGCTGGAATGCGCTTTGGGATAGGGTCCTGTCCCAGTAGCTTTGCCCTCACCACAGATCGAAGAAATGTGGATCCTCGGGCTCCGCTACCATCTAAACTTTTCCTCGCAAACCAAAAGCCTCGGAAATCCATGTCTTCACCATGCCTATTGCATGCTGAACTGTTGAAACGTTTGGAGTAGTTTTCAACTAGCAAGCAAACTGTTCTCGGCAAAACGCAAAGATCCAAATTGGATCAGTTGACCTACAAAACTACTAAATCACTACGTGAGTTGTAGTAGGTTCCAAAAGGGTGAAGTTGTGGTAAAACATCTACACAAAATCATAGCATGCTGACTCAAGCATGAGCCTCTTATGAGCGAGAACCTGGCGCTGTCGTTGTCGCCATAGCAAATCTGCAGCCCATCTTTCATGGTTGTTGCCCAAAAGTCCAATGCTAAAATCGCTGCAGTAAGCTCTAGCTCATAAATAATCGTTTGCTTGAGACCAGCTCCAAACAATTTGCATTGCTCCGCATTTAAAGCAAAACCAAACCATCCAACACATGTAAATTCATCATCGAACAAGGCCGCACCAATGCCACCTGTACCAAGCTCCGGCTCATATGCCGCATCTGTGAAAACTACCCATTGACGCACTGCCTTTGCAGAGACAATGCGCGGGATTGCCAGTTCCAATCGTTGTTTCATGACCAGAAGTCCCAAGCTGAGCTCATGGGATAGCTTGGAGGTTCGCCCATAAGCGTGCTCAGCCAATTGCTTTAACACCAACAGGCCAAGGCGGCCATGTAAAAAGGAATCAGCAAAACCCAATTTTCCTCTCAAAACCAAAGCATCCTGTTTGCACAGCTCCCCAGCTTCAATTGTTGCACGCAACATAGCTGTAAGATCCTGAATCCTCTGTTCAGTGTTGCATACCGCCAAAATACGCTCACCAGAGCTAGCCAGATTGAACTGGACGCCAAGCGCCTTGCAGACTGTCCCAAAACTTGTTGCCTTTTTGCCATCGCGGTCGAAATTCCAACCTGTCAGCAAGAAAACCAGCTCCATCGAATTCTTCGCGGATTCAACGCTGTTAGGAAGCGACGCCAGGATGTAATCATCATAGAAATTTGTGGTCAGCAAGAAAAGCTGTCGGGTACAGATTGTGTACAACATCCTGGCCAGACGAAGGAAGCTGTACACACTGTGTGTTGCGCCGAAAGGCAATGTAAGGAGCTGATACACTTCGGCCTTATCGCTCTCACAATTGTAGATGCAGAAATATGAGAAACACAAATGGTCTTGCCGTATGGGTACCTGTCGGTACGCACTTTTTAAGTCGTACGTCTTAGCCACCAAAGAGCTGGCTTTGTCTTCAGCTGCGCAACGCTTGAAGAACTCTCTGATGACTGCAGCAAAGGTGTCCACCATATGCAAATCCACTTTGTTGTGAGAGCTTGCTGTATCATTGATACCTGACACTGAAAAGTCATCAATCATCCTCGTTTTGTTTTTCTGTATTAAAGGAAAACGCCTCGACACAACACCACCAGCAGGAATCTCACTGATAGGGCCTACAGCCCAACCACGTCTGACTTCTTCTCTCGTCTCTTGCAAGACCTGCTGATCAATCTGCAAATCGCCGGAGGTTTTGCACGACGCAAGAACAGCTTGGTTGCGTCGAGGGGCTTCAAGCAAAAGTTGCGACATGGTTAACATGCAAGGCTTATAGAGCTCTTCAAAAGTGTCGCACTTCGGAATGTCGCCTGCCAATGGCGATCCATGTCGCAGCAAATCCAAAACATTCATATCTTCGTACTGCATCTCCTTCAAAATTTCTTCAGTCAGCAAGAGCTTCTTATTGGCCGTAGCGTCTTTCACATGCTGTGGCCTTGTTTCTGCATCCAGACGCTCAGATCTGTCCAACTGCCTTGCACGCTTGAGCCACTTGCGACACCAGTCCATTCGATATTGCACCAATGTTTGCTCACTCCAACACATATGCTTCTCCAGCGCCAGCTGAAGGTCTTTTGGAACTGCAAGGCCAATCTTGGAGGGATGGCCAACTTCAACTGCCTTGCGCACAAACTGTTCGCAGTCCCAAGGTAATCCAAAAACCACCTTGTACGGCCAGCCCTCTGCTGCTAAAGATTTTTCAGACTCCTCTGCAACCCCCATTTTTGAGTCTGAAACATAACATCCACGCAGAAATCGTGCATGTTTAGGTACTTCCACCAATTGTTTGGCTTCTGTCATTACAGTGATTGAAGATGGAAGCTTTCCCATGAGCGCACATGGGATATCAGAAGGTTGCCTGACATAGAAAACAGCAGTTTGTTGAAAATCAGGCACCAGTGGAGGAATTTTGTTGCCACGAGGTTGTCGACCTGCCGCCATCTGAGAGTGCTTTGCAGAAAGCAATGGATGGCCCATAACATCATGAATGCAGTTTGGTCGCAACTGAACTCCACGAGAAGCCGCCACCTGTAAAACAATGAGTTAAAGCTATGCAGAGCTTTCTTGGATATTGTGATTCCTCGGCTGTAGCCCAGACTTTCTGACCCTGAGCATTTGTAGTAAAGCCCCAACCCAAATGTTTGTGACTTCTATCACAAGCAGCATCCATCTGGGTGATCTCAGGAAAGGAAGCCAGAATCCTGGTCCATTTATCTCGCATCGATCCAAACATGCACGCCTGAAAATCTGTTGCAAAAAGTGGATATGCCCGCATCAGCTCCAGCACAAAAGGGATTACCCAGAGATAAGAGCCACGTGGATTTTCCATGGTTGCCAGCACTCCACGTTCCATGCACTTTGCAAAAAGATGGCACGTATATTTGAAAAGCTCATTTGCAATCTCGACCCTTTTGCGATCACCAGAATTCAAAGTGGGTAAGCCCAACGGATGTTCCAATGACCTCAAAGGCTGAGGTGCAGAAGCTAACTCAGGGCGGGGTATCTCCCTAGCCCTACTTGCTGTGCCACAAACCGGTGCAAAATGCGCCCAAAGCAAAAGGGGTGAAGCGAGCCACTGTTCTAAGAGCTCTCTGTCTGCCGGCTGCATCAAATCTAACTGATAGATAGTGCTCCGGGCATTCTGCTTTCGAACTTTGTCCACTGCTATGCCTCCAAGTCCATACTGCTTTGCAACTGATGTTAGAACAGCTCCACCAGCAAACACTTCAATCATGAATAACTGCTCAACGTGAAGTCCATTCCAGTCTCTTGCAACGCTAGGACCTAGTCACTTCCCATGCTGCTGCAATGAGTGCGGTTGTTGGCAACGAGGCTCCGCACAAACATGTAGCCCTTTCGGACAGCGATCGCCTGCCTTCACTGTGGTTGAATGACTGCAGCCTGCACTTGTATTGAAAGCAAAGCAAATAGGTTCATTGGAAGCAGTCTTATGGTACTTCCCTCGAAGCTCCTGTGGCATTGGCGGTGTCTTACCTTTGCCACTTGCTTTTCCTTTTCCTTTTCCAACACTTGGCTTTCCACTCGATGTACTGTAAGGAGCCGGCCTAGAGGGCCCTGCATTTGAGGTCTGAACCGGTTTTGCCAACGGCGCCAAATAGAGCATGATGGCTGGGTCGCTCTTCAAAGCCAGCAAGGCCTCGCCCAAGGGATACGTGCCGTCTGCTGCCTCACGCGTTGAGACACCTAATGTTGCAAGCCTTGCCCAAGCAGCTTTGTCACAACTCACAACCTGCGACAAGTTTGCTTTGTTGTATCCAGGTGGCACCTCCCTGTGCAAAGACTCAAAGAGAAAGCACAGCCAAGAATTGTGCTGCTGAAATGACATAACCCTTGCAAAGGCTAGGGCCACTGCTCGCCTAGTCATGGCGTAGTGCAACTTGATCTCTGAGTCGGTTGAGCACGTCTGTTTGTCATCGTGCTTCAGGATCAAAGAACCCTTTTCCAAAGTCAATTCACGCGACTTTGGTGTGCCCTGCACTTCCATGCTTCGTGAGATGCAAATTGAAGGTTCCAGCCACTTGACATTGTTACTGTCAAAAATTGCACAGCACTTATCTAAAAGCCCATGTGATGGCTCAATCTCACCAGTGATGTCCAATCCTCTCAGGTCCTGACGCAGCCGATCCATACGTTGGGTCCGCTCAGCATAGGCAACTTTTCGGGGTTGCGTTTCATCACTCTGATCAACTTGTTGTCGCAGTGTTGCAACAAGGTAAGTGTGAGCTTCAAAACCCAAACGTTTCAAGGCTGAGGTCTCCGCTAAGGTTGCAGCCCTTCCCAAAGCATTCTGCAAGAAATCTGTCACATCTTGATTCTGTATCGGCTGGCCAGGTTGGCCAATCACAAAAGCAAGCTTAGAAAGATTGTCAACTTGAGCTCCAGCTAGGGCTGTGACAAAGGCTGCATTCAGCCCAAGCTTTGCACATCTCTCCTCGAAGTGTGCTGAACTGTCAAGCAGGGATGTCATGATCCTACAGCGCACGAAACTAAAGGTGAAAGTGTTGTAAAACCCCAAAGCAAACCATGACAAGCATGAAACCCTGTGCCGACATGACAATCAATGCAGGAAATGAAAACAAAATGGAACAAGCAAAAGTTGAACTTGCAATGACACAAATGCAGCTTTCTGCTCCATGGGGCTTTCCCCTGTGCCTTTGAGCCATGCCGCCACAAATTCTCATTAACATGCTGCAGCTTTCTGCAAAAACATGTATGCAGCTTTCTGCAAGACTTGTGCCTGTGCACTTGTCGACTTTTCGACAAACCTCATGCGGCATGCAACTTCTTTTGACACGACTCACGCAGCCTTACGCTTGGCTTTGTCCAGTGCTGCATCAAGAGCTCCATTGAGCTGAGAAAGATTTCGAATTCTGTTGCTGTCTCTTGGAAAACACTTCAAGCATTTTGGCCAACGGACTGTGAGGCGCTGCGTCAGCTGTTGAAAGTTTGCTGACATCTGTGCACCACATGCTGCCACCTTCTGACCTGCTGTCACTTTGTGCATGATCGCACTCTTGCGATGCTTGTAGTATGTCAAGCCCTCAGGCACCACTTCCACAAAAGCATGTGCATCTCGCTGAGGCACGTTTGCCTCTCCACTCGACGAAGTAGAGCTTGAGCTCTCGCTTTCACTTCCTGAAGAACTGTCCAGCTCCACTATTCCCTTATCCACTATCTCGAGGTCAAACAGCGAAATGCTGGAAGCTGCTGCCTCCACCTGCTCAAGTGAAATCTGCTCCTCCTTGACGCTCTCCAGGTCGCCCGCAATGTTCACTGCCTCCACAGCCTCCTCGACTGCATCCAGTGGTTTATCAAGCACTGGAACAGGTGGCAAGGGTGTCACCGGTTGAGGCCCAACGGCAACTGGCCGTGGTGTCCGAGCACAAGGAGTGGCATATGGGTTTGGCGCCATAGGGTCCTCTTCAAGACCAAGCCCAATGCGAACCCTGTGCAGCAACATGTTGAGCTTCCGCAAAGCCCTTGTCTGAAGATGCCGGCTGTAGACAACCTCCGACCCTTGGAGCGCCGATGCATGATGCCCCAGCACTGCACGTACTTCTTTGTCCAAACCAGCTTTTGCTGACCACACCAGCAGCGTTGTTTTCAGTGAGTGAGCTTTGAACTGGTCACAATCTTTGGTGCCTCGTAGCAACAACCTGAGCCACTCAGCTGCCTCAGGAGTCGACAGAGGCCTGGCTCCAAAACTGCCTCCCATGCGGGGAGCTGGCATCAAAGGCCCCAACGGAACCTTGAACAAGTCCAGGCCAGCCATTTTGTAAACATCCATGAAATTCTTGACCCACTCATCGTGAGTCACTCCCATCCAAGGCACCACAAGTGGAAGATATTGCTCACGTCGAGCACCCACTGCAGAAGTTTTGTGCTCTGCTGTGTACAAGGTCAAGAAGCCGTTTCTGCCCTCTTCAGCTACCACATGATGAATGTATCTTAAATCAGACCATCTGGCACGTCCATAGATACAAACCAACATGACTCCTGCTCCCAGTCGATCTGTCAAGCAAGCTGCACCTTCAAGAACCTCGTGCAAGCGCTGCAGATGCTCCAATTCAAGTGGCGCAGCCTGACGTGTGGGGCCCTTCTGAAGCCTCTCAATTGCAGCAAAACCCAAGAGCCGTCGTGACTGTAACACTGTGTCAGCCTCTCTGAGATCCAATGTGAACTTCATGAATCGCACAGTCTCCAAAAAAGCTGAAGCATTTGTGAAGCCACGCTGATTTTCAAATCTCAAATTCCGCAACCAGTGAAAGAAAGCCCAAACATCATTCTCTGCAAAAGGCAATGGACTGACCTGGATTGCAGTGCATCAGAGCGCAACTCAGCGTGCCACTTGAAGTATCTCCGCAGGCTACCCGCACGCTTCAACAGCGTCTGTGGACTCTTTATGCCGAAACTGGCTTTAAGAGTTTCAAATGCAGCTGTGCCAGAAGAATCCAGTTGCATATCCCTCGCTAACTGCTCCACAACGCCCGTGGCGTACCAGCAACATGAAAGCATTTCCAACCATTGTCCACAAGCAAGCTCACGCAACCTGTTTTTGTTTTCGAAATCATCTAAATCCTGAACATGCCTTACAGCCTTGTCGTAGCAGGAGTCCAACGGAGCTGCACTGCCAGCCTCTGCACTGTCGGCTGCCGCAATGATGTGCTCCATTAAACCACTGTCAGGTTCAGGCAAGCAGTTCATGGGAAGTTCAAGGAACGTTGAATTGCCAAAAATGTCAGCAAAGACACCTGTTTCCCACGGCAATAACAAGCTGCTAGGCCGCTGTGAAAACTGAAAAAAGTTGGCTGCAACTCCAAGCTGCCACTGAGCATCTCCTATAGAGGGCTGAGGTCCAGGCATTGGCAGGTCAAAAACCGGCACTGCATCAGGTTCCACGCTGGGGCTAGGACAAACTGAGACATCATCTGACTTCTGAAAAGTTCCGCCGTTCTCAAGGGGCCACATTGGTGAATGATTGGGAAAACCAAACATCGCATCACCTTCAAAGACACCACTGCCATGTTGCACCATGTTGAAATGCTCCTCATTAACAGGCTCGCCTACAGCACCATCCAACCAGTGATTAAACTGATCCAAATCGTCCACTTGTCCAGTTGAAACATCACCTGTAGGTCCAGACTCATCCATGGCATGCCCCCCAAGTCGCTTTTCAACTTCTACAAAGAAAAACGGCGGACCCACCGCACCCTCCCTTGAAAAGAAATGTCTCAGGAACAACAGGATTCATTGTGTCCCGAAATCTAAGATTTCTAAACTTGTCACTTAAGACAATTCGATGATTAAAATCAGCTTCATCTTACATTACATTACATTACATTACATTACATTATATTACATACATACATACATACATACATTACATACATACATACATTACATACATTACATACATTCCATTCCATTCTTCCATTCCATTCCATTCCATTCCATTACATTACATTAAATTACATTACATTACATTACATACATTACATACATTACATACATTACATGCATTACATGCATTACATGCATTACCTGCATTACATGACATTACATTACATGACACTACATACATACATGACATTACATACATTACATGCATTACATGCATTACATGCATTACCTGCATTACATGACATTACATTACATGACACTACATTACATGACATTACATACATACAGACATACATACATTACATACATAAAAACATACATACATACATTACATTACATTACATACATTACATACATTACATACATTACATACATAACATACATAACATACATAACATACATGACATACATAACATACATTACATACATTACATACATACATTACATTACGTTACATTACATTACATTACGTTACGTTACATTACATTACATACATACATTACATACATTACATACATTAGATGCATGACATACATTACATACACTACGTACATTACATACATTGCATACATTACATACATTGCATACATAACATACATACATGCATTACATGCATTACATGCATTACATGCATTACATACATACATACATACATACACACAGACATACATACATACATACATTACATTACATTACATTACATTACATTACATACATTACATACATACATACATTACATACATTACATACATTACATACATTACATACATTACATACATTACATGCATTACATACATTACATACATTACATACATTACATACATTACATACATACATACATACATACATACATACATACAAACATACATACATACATACATACATTACATACATTACATTACATTACATTACATGACATTACATTACATGACACTACATTACATGACATTACATACATACAGACATACATACATTACATACATAAAAACATACATACATACATTACATTACATTACATTACATTACAATACAATACAATACATTACATTACATTACATTACAATACAATACAATACAATACAATACATACATACATACATTGCATTACATTACATTACATTACATTATATTATATTGCATTACATTACATTACATACATAGATACATACATACATATTTAATAACAACAACGGCCCAATAGTGCGTCCACGACGCGCTTCAAGTGCAGCCAAGTGACCTAATGTTGTTTTTAAAATGGTTTTTGCGATGTTTTTTGTGGTTTTGCATTACACGGTCATGGTTTTGAAAGTGTGTTTTTTTGAAAAATAAATTGATCAAAATTTCACTAGCACCACAGTTTCGTGCATGTGGAACGGAGCTACAGCAAAATACATGACTTTTTATGCCGATTGCTGTTCGCCACAGCGAAATGGCAATTTTGGCATCAAACAAGTATTTTTTTTGAACCTATTTTTTTTGAGAGGTGATTTGCCTGAGGGACAACCTTTTTTCTCGCCTCTGTGGTCACTGGAACAGCCAAGAGCAGTTTTGGTTGAGAACCAGGAACTCCTTTGGTTCGTGTCCTAGCATTTTTGATTTCTTCTCGAACGTGTTTTATGGTTTTGAAGAAACTCATCAGGCCAGGTTCATGCAAGAGTCTGCGTGCGCTGAGTTGGTCAACATGAGCGTATCACACAACTTCCACAGCATTCCATCGAAAGCGTGTTTAAAACTTCCACAGCGTAGCATCAAGAGCGTGTTTAAAATTGCAAGAGAACTTCCACAGCGTAGCATGAAGAGCCCGTTTAGAATTGCAAGAGAACTGCCACAGCGTAGCATCAAGAGCCTGTTTAAAATTGCAGGGAACCTTCCACAGCGTAGCATCAAGAGCGCGTTTAAAATTGCAAGACAGCTTCCACAGGGTAGCATTAAGAGCGTGTGTAAATTTGCAAGAGAACTTCCACAGCGTAACATCAAGGGCCTGCTTAAAATTGCAAGAGAACTTCCACATCGTAGCATCAAGAGCGTGTTGAAAAATTTTCAGGGATTTTCCACAGCGTAGCATCAAGAGCCTTTTTTTAATTGCAGCAGAACTTCCACAGCCTAGCATCAAGAGCCTGTTTCAAATTGCAGGAGACCTTCCACAGTGTAGCATCAAGAGCGTGTTTCAAACTGCAAGAGAACTTCCACGGCGTAGCATCAAGAGCATGTTTAAAATTGCAAGAGAACTTCCACAGCGTAGCACCAAGAACTGTTTGTAAAATTGCAAGAGAACTTCCACAGCGTAACATCAAGAGCGTGTTTAAAATTGCAACAGAACTGCCACAGCCTAACATCAAGAGCCTGTTCAAAATTGCAGGAGAACTTCCACAGCGTAGCATCAAGAGTGTGTTTTTAAAATTGCAAGAGTACTTCCACACCGTAGCATCAAGAGCGCGTGAAAAATTTGCAAGAGAACTTCCACAGCGTAGCATCAACAGCCTGTTGAAAATTGCAGGAGAACTTCCACTGCCTAGCATCAAAAGCGTGTTTCAAATTGCAAGAGAACTTCCACAACGTAGCATCAAGAGCGTGTTTAAAATAGCAAGAAAACTTCCACAGCGTAGCATCAAGAACATGTTTAAACTTGCAACAGAACTTCCACAGCGTAGCATCAAGAGCCTGTGCAAATTTGCAAGAGAACTTCCACAGCGTCGCATCAAGAGCATGTTTAAATTTGCAAGAGAATTTCCACAGTCGCCTATGCTGACGACCTACTCCTTTGTTGCCAATCAGAGAAAGCTGAGAAGATTGTGGAAAAAGCAATTGGCAAAGCCGTGCCCTTGAAGGAGACCGGAATTATCGTTCCTGCACGACATGGAGGTGGACGTTTGACATTCATTGGCAGGCACGTGCATCGAGGTTTGGAGGACGACTCCTTGACAATTGGTGTGGATCGAAAGTTTTTGGACACCACCTTTACCGAATTCAACATCACGAAGGGATCAGCAGGCATCTTGGACACGGCCATAGGTGACAAGAATCAATTGCAAGAACTCTCTCCCTCTGCATACTCACGATTTCGCCGTGCATTGGGCAAGCTTCTGTGGATGGCACAGTCTAGGCACGACCTGAAACTATATCTCAGTCTAATTGGGAGTCAACAAGCAAAGCCCAACCAAGGCACTAAAGCTGCCATTCGTGCTTTGTTGAGATTTCTCTTTAAAGATGTGGGAACGTGTTTGAGGTTACCATCCCAGAATATGAGAATTTGACGATTGGTCCTGCAAGGCATTCAATTCTGCACTCATTCTCTGATGCATCGTTTGCTCCATACAGATTCAATGGTAGAAAGGGAATTTCTGGTGGAGTTGTGTTTTGTGAAGGTGCATTGGTTAGATCATTGGCTAGACAGCAACAGTCAGTGTCGCTTTCGTCATGTGAAGCAGAACTACATGCATTGCAAATGGTTGCCCAAGAATCGGTTGCATTCAGCAATTTTTGTCATTGTGTTCACACAGGGATTGGTGAAATGAGAGAGAGATGTGCCCCAAATCTTGCTGGAGTCAGATAGCTCTTCAGCCTTGCAATTGTTGGTTGGACAAGACATACCCAAACGAAGTTGGCATGTTGAAATTCGTATGGCCTGGATGAAAGCTAAGATTAGCTCAAATGAACTGTTGGTTGAACACAGGCCCGGAACGGACAATGTGGCAGATTTGTTTACCAATGTTTGGGGACCAAAGATTTCCTGAGAGACCGTGCAAGCTTAGGGTTTGAAACTTCTGAAGTGCCTATGAAAGACTTGCAAAGAATTCGTGATGTCATGCTCATCAACAGTAGGGTTGATCACAATCAAGATGTTGCCTTTGTGGAAGTTTGTTGTGGAACCAATTCAGCTTTGAGAGAAGCATGCAAAGTTGCATGCATGCCCTATATCGGTATAGTCAAACGCATGGAAACTGCAGACATGTTTTAAAAGGTGAAAGAGTTTGTTGAGGTTCACCAGCAGTTAGGCTACCGTTGGGTGCATGTGCACGCTTCTACTCCTTGTAGCTCAGGGTCACCACTTAAGAATTTTTCTGCAGAGGTTGAATCAGAGGCAGACAGGTCATGGAAAGGTATCATGGAGAACGTCTCTAAGTATTTGCTGCTTGGGAATTCAAGGTCTTTCGAATTGCCAAGGAACAACAACATATGGAAACGCGAAGAAACGAAACGAGTTTTGAAACAATGTTTTTGTGTCAAACTGGTATGCAAGCCCCAAACACACACGCAGGAGTCGAGTGCAGCAGTTTAGCCGTTTCAGGGGTACCTACCGTAAGTTTCCGCAACTGCTGAGTTGGGCGTGTGAGTGAATTCTGATACCTCACATCCTTAGTTCTGCAGGCACTGTTCTGACTTGCATTCTGTATCCAAAACGTTGCGAACAAAAACACACTTCTGTCCAACCTTGTCCACAAAAGTCCGATCACAAAAGTCCGATGCAAAATCAACTGAATATGCAGACATAACTGAACATGCAAAAAAAAACAAAACAACTGTGTTCTACATTAATGCAGTGCTTCACATCAAATCTGTGCTTCGCGTACGCCAGTGTTTCGCGAACATCCCCAAAAAAAACTGTGCTTCACTTGACTGCGTGTGTGAGAGTTGAAACAGTTTACAATTAGAAATTAGGTTCTGACGTGACGCTATGGCTCCAAAGTCACAGTACTGGCAGACTGACTCTTCTTCGCATGGATATGGACAGAAAGGGAATTCGCAGATGC